GCAGTAGTTTCCCGCACCAGACATGAATTACAACTGCTTAATCATGAGGGTTGTATGGCGATGGTGATGGTGGCAGCTGTTCTTTGATGGTACTGATGATGAAGATGACGACGACAATGATGATGTTCAGCATGATGTCAAAGATGATCCGATTGTCGACTCACCACGAAGCCACAGGGGCAAGGGAAAGGGTACCACCACAGGCCCACCCAACAGGGGGGGCGAGGGAGGAATACCATGGGATGGGAAGGGGAGGGAGGGTGTGGCAGCCCTGCATCATACATTAAGTCCGAGTCAAAACAACTTCCACCAGGTCTGAGACAATTGTTGGTCGGTACTGTCAATGTCGAAACATGCATCCCTGGCATGCAGGCGGAGAAGGGATTGCAGGAGGAGGCGCTTTCCAGACATGCAGGGTTGTTGCAAGTGTGGCAGCAATTCCTGTGCCCCATCTTTCTTCAACACAAGCAAAAGCAGACGCTTCCTGCCGTGCACCTCGTGGCTGCTGTGTGCTTGAGGCAACCCGTCGTCACCTGCAAAATCTGGAGGTACGCTTTCTGCAGACTGAGAGCGTCTACGCACTCTGCTGTTGCTGCTTCGTTCTCGAACCAGCCTCGACACCAGGATCAACGAAACGAGGCTCGCGCGGCTTATCAGGATGCTGCAACTTGGCCCGCAACATGTGTGTGTGTGTGTTGTCAGCCTCGTGCATGCATGAACTGGACGAAGTATTTGGCCATTGTTCCTCACATGTTGATGAGAAGCGGAGAGATGACGAGACGAGGTTGAGGCCACGCGGCGCATGCGCATCGATCTGGAGCTCAGGTCGAACTTCGGTCGAATCTAAGATGTCAACTGCAGTAGCTACCTGCCCGGTCGATCCAAGGGTTCGCAGGATGGAGTCACCAGGACGTGCTGTTCTGTCACCTGCCTGCAGACCTCCACTGGGTCTCCTCCCTCAGCTTGCATGTACGACAGCTGGTGGCAGGCGCAGCGGCACGCTGTCTTCCCGATCCACGACCTACGTAAGCCCTTCTTTGGACATCCGTTGTCATACAGCACATGCAGCATGCCTTTGCGCGTCTCAAAAGCGACTCCTGTCCGGGCATTGAGGCATGGCCGTGGTGGCTCAAGGCAGTGCAGTGACGCAGCGAAGCATGTGGGGTCTACACAAACGAACAGTTCTCATCTTTCACCCCAGCTTCAGTGCTTGTGCCGTTTCTGCATAATGTACCTCCGCATCTTTGTCGAAGTGCATCCTTGCCAATGCAGCACGACGCAACCATTGCCAAAAGCTACAGAAGTGTGTAGTTCGTCGGCAGGTGTCCGTCCAAAATCCCGTGCGAGCCCTTTGGTCGAACACAGCTGTCATATCGACATCCGCCGCCGCCGCCAATCGGAGACAGAGGCGGCAATGGTAGCAGACCATGTGCGCAAGCGGTCCAAGAGGGCTACACGAGATGACAAGGTAATAGCCTTGAGAGTGTCAAGCCGTGAGAAACAAGAGGAACGAAGAAAGGAACTCGCAGCCCCCGACACACTGCGCGACAATGCCGCGACCTACATATTCCCTGAGAACAGATGCCGGAGCTTTTTTGCCTATGTTTTCGGTCAAGAGCCGTGAGTGACCGTTCAGCTGCGCGATGCAAACTACCAGTCGCCACATTCAGCAGCCGAGACCTGGGTGCGACATGAGTCAGAAGCTCCCGGCTCTCCCTCAGCCTAGCAGTCCTTCTGCTCGAAGTGTTGAAGAGGCCAAGATGGCCACTGAGCAAGGGGAAGGGGACGGAGCCGTCCCTGCAGAGCCCGTCCCATGGCACAAGTTAGTTCGAGTCGGAGGACCGTCTGTGCCACAAATTGCAATTCTTCCGTCAGGTAATGCATGGCTGGCATCACTCTTACTTACGATTGTCTATGATGATGCCGATGATGTGTGGTGACGGCGGCGCGCAGTGGCGGTGGGTGTGCGGGCGGCTGAGGCAATGGTCGCGGCGGCGGTGGCGCTGCAGGACGATGATCATCATGATGATGCCGGTGCCTAGAGCCTGGTATGGTAGGTGATGACGACTTTCATGATGATCCTCGTGATGATTCTGATTGCCGTTTCCAGGATGCCGTTCTCGCTGTGCTCGGCAGTTTGCCTGACAAATTTGTCCCTGTTTAGCCCGGTACTTAGATTGGCTTTGGGTCGGTAGCATGAGGCTGAGGCCACCAAGACCATGCAAGTGGTCGTGCACAGTCCCTCGGCTGGTGAAGCCCAGACCACATGTAAGCATACTGAACCAAGCAAGGTATGCGAAAAAATCATTATCCGGTAGTGTTTTTGATATACCCTCATATGGTGAGTCGTAATCATGGTAGAACAGGAATGACAGTGATTTGTCTGCCGCAGCACTGTGCTGGTGAGAGGATAAAGAAGACGAAGAAGCTGACGACTACTGCTCCTCCTACTCATGCTCCTTCTAGTCCTGCTCCTACTCCTGTTCCTACTCCTACTCCAACACACCTACTACTGCTGCTGTACTACTGCTCCTTTACAACTGCTTCCATCTATCATCACTAGTGACAACTGGCACTCACCAGTTCAAAGACAGATTGTGTAAACTTACGCACTAGTGCAGAATTGCTGAGGCATCGCTGGTGAGGAGCTTCTGGCGATGCAATGCCCAGCGGACTGGATGGCGTCAGACATCGCAAGAAAGGCGGAGAATCTGAGAAGATGTTTCTTCTGTCGGGGGCGCCGTGTCCTTGGTTGCTTCCGTCAGCCACCCCCGGAAAAAGAACTGATACGCATGAACACATCACACATCACACGAGCCTAGCCTCGAGATTCGAAATACCCAGATATATAGAGCAGCCATTGAGTGCAGGTGGAGCCCAGGTTGACTTGGCAAGTCAAGCTCCAACTGCGGGATCAGGTCCTGCAGGTGCCAAGCTTGTGTTGCTTGCCACTCTTGCCGGTATGACATGCAAGATCACACACACACACGCCGACAAACGCACTACGCACGTTGTGTATGCATGTGTTGAATTTTCGACTTTATTCAGAGTTTGGGGTGTAAGTTTATGTATAAAGGTAAACCAACAAGTCAATACATCAAATAAAAAGTTCATATGTACACACATCTGAGCATTGATCTCAAGGTCCTTGTCTTCAAATGTATACAAAACGGGTTTTTGATGTAACGTAAAACATGTGTCTGCGAAAGATCTGCGATGGGTCCGCGGAAGGAAAGCAATAATCCGCTGAAGTTTGCATGTAACAGACTTGGGACACATGAGACCCATAAAGAACATGCTATCATGCTGTGGGCAGTACACCCAAAGCCAGGGTTTGACTTGCTGCCTCAGTGATTCTGCGGCTGCCACGCCAAACTTGTGAGCAAGTCTTGCCCACAGCAACGAGTGTTGTAAAACCAGCCTCAGCGTCAGAGTGTTTCTCTGTTGTGGGGAAATCGTTGTGGATTTTCCGCGAAAGATCTGTGAAAGACGCCGCGAAAGACGGCCCAGCTGTTGCAAGACCGTGGCTCGACTACCACAGCCACCACTATCCTGGTGTATTAAGTCGCAGACCTACTACTACCACCACTACATACTACTACATACTACTACTACTACTACTACTACTACTACTACTGCTGCTACTACTACTACTACTACGACGACGACGACTACTACTACTACTACTACTACCACCTTCTACTCCTACTCCTACACCTACTCCT